CCGAGTCTGCCGAGGGGGTGGAAAAAGGCCGGTGGGGGAGGAAAGCTGCGCCTGGGGAACGGCGCCGAACGCGGAGGGGCCTTCTGGTAGCTGAGGGGTATTTCACGTGGCCAGGGAAGTTAAAGCGAGCGATAGTGAAATGATGTAGGATCAGGAAGAGAGGAAGTGGGGAAAAAGAGTCAAGGTTTAAAAGAAAAAGGGATGAACGCAGCCCAAACGGGAACGGTCTCTGGTGTCATCTTACACGGGAGGGTGCAGTGAGGAAACCAGCGGCCGGCCTGGCCCGGGGCCCTCTTCTGCCGGGGGATGCTCAGGCGAGTCTGCGAGCGCAGGGCAGGCACGTCGCGGTGGCTCTGGTCAGCAGCCCGGCACTGGGGCACAGCGGGAATGGGGGAGAGCGGCAGGGCCGTGAGGGGACGTGTGTGTGGAGCGAGGGCTGGGAACCCTGGATCGCCTTCTCTGGCGGGGCTGGCAGCGGGCGGCAGGGCCGGCAAGGCTGGCATCGCCGTGGGGGACAGCTGGAGAAGAGCAAAAGCGGCACCCGTGACTGCGAGGGAGGACACGGGATCCAGAGTCCCCGCTGCAGGGGAGTGAGCCTTTGGGTCTTACCACAATAACTCTGGGGGCGTGGGTGACTAACGTTAGGGTGAGAGGCCCTGAAGGACAAGTTGGCCGGTCGGTCTAGCCCAGGGGCTGGTCACAGGCTGGCGCAGGAGGTGCTGCTTAGGAGGGGCACGTGTGCCGGGCTGTTTTCTGTGGGCCTGCTTAATGGCGCTAATGAAATAAGTGGTGATGCGGAGCTGGGGAGTCATAACAAACACGAGGAATAACAATATCCTAAGGGAAGGCCAGGGTGATCTGTGGGCCGGGCTAATTGGAGTAGGAGTAACTGTAGTAGTAGCAAGTGCAATTAGTCTCGTGAAAGACCTCCCTCCGTAAGTCAGCTCTCCCCCACTCGTGAGGGGGAGGAGATCGGCATGTGTTAGCGAGCCTCCAGCCACCATCTGACAGAGCCGAGACAGCAGCAAGTCTGGTACCAAACGAGGTTTTCCAGGCAGAGGTGGGGATCGTACAAGGCACCGGCCAGGTCTCGGCTGAGCACGGAGTCCCGGGAGGGTTTGCTGTGCTGGGGGGGTGAGGTCGCATGGGGCTGGCACGGAGAGAGCACGGAGTCCCGGGAGGGTTTGCTGTGCTGGGGGGGGGTGAGGTCGCATGGGGTAGGGGATGGAGCGCGGAGTCCCTGGTCCATGAGAGGGGATTTAAAAAGGAACCTGGCTTTGAGATGGAGCTTGGTGAGGTCTAATGAGGGTGTGGGGAGAGGGCAGGGAAGAGAGAGAGGGACTCCTGCATGAGAGGGGAGGTGGCAGAGGCTTCCCGGGAGGGTTTGCTGTGCTGGGGGGGGGTGAGGTCGCATGGGGTAGGGGATGGAGCGCGGAGTCCCTGGTCCATGAGAGGGGATTTAAAAAGGAACCTGGCTTTGAGATGGAGCTTGGTGAGGTCTAATGAGGGTGTGGGGAGAGGGCAGGGAAGAGAGAGAGGGACTCCTGCATGAGAGGGGAGGTGGCAGAGGCTGGAGCTGCTCGAGGTGCCCTTCTCCCCTTTTCATGCTTCCCTCCCGCTGATCAGGAGAGGGAGAGGTTGGCAGGCACTCTGGTCCAGGGCCGGGCAGGAGGGGTGCTCTTGGCTTCGGTGGCTTGGGGGGGGGATCAGGTTTGACCCCATCTGAGCCCTCGCTGCTGCCCTGGGAGACAGGATTGAGGCTCCTCTTTGCTCCTGCCTGGGCATGGGCAGCAAATGCCTCTGTCTGCCCCGCTGTGTTGGGGGCTTGCGCAGGCAGGGACCCTCTGGTCCGTGACCTTGACACCCACTGCAGGCGCCCGCACTCAGCGCATCCTCTCCAGCTCTTCTGCCTGGGAAGTGCGGAGAGGAGGACTGCTGCCTGCAGGCTCAGGAGGACGGCGCGAGTCAATAGCTGACTCTCTGGCCCCAGACCGAGCACCTCGTGCTTCTGTGTGATACATGACCTCATCCTTCTACTTTGTGGTCAGTCGTTTGGGCAGAGGTACCCAGCCACGTGTTCTGCAGCGTCCCTGGGTGTTACAGCTTGCGTCCTTCCCGCCCACTCCCTGTCCCTGGTGGGTGACTCCAGGGGGGAAAGCTACAGCAGAAGGGGCAGGGGGAAGCGCTGTGGTGATGGTGACGTGGTGCCGGAGAGCGAGGAAGTGGTGAGCGCTTGGGGAAGTGGAGGTCTGGGCTTGTAGCCTGCTCTCTGCAGTGTGATCCTTCTCTGTGTTCAGAGCAGCTGCGGTCCCCGTTCCCTCGACAGTGTGTTAGAGTAGCGGGACCAATTTTTCTGTGGGATTTTGCTGCCAGGAAGAGACCCAGGCTGTCCTTGAGGCATGCAGCTGCTTCCCCGTACCGTGACTGGACCTTCCTCTATTCTGCCGGTGTCACTGCCTCCTGCTTTCCAAGGGATCCCTTGTATGGTGGCCACGCAGGCTGCTCGTGAGCCGGTGTTGCTGCTCAGCAGCCCAGAGCAGGGCGTGAGACAGCGTATCTGCTGAAGGCTTTGGAGACTGCTCTGTCCTCGTGCCGGCTGTGATCGGCAGCGACCTTTGGGTCGGGGTGAGCTGCAGCCACCCAAATGGGGTGTCCGCAGGGCTGAGCGCTGCCCAGCTTGGCTTGAATCTCTTCAGGCCATGGCGGCGCCGTTGAAGGGGAGTTTCTCTCCCTAGGTGCAGCGTTGCCGTTGCCTGCGGTGCAGGGCTGGTTTTTCAGGAGTGAGAGGGAACCTGTGTTTACCTGGCGTGTGCCTGTCGGTTGCCAAGTCTCCCGGCCGTGTGGGTCATCTGCAGTAACGGCCGGGCTGCATTCGGGGGTCTGACTTGGGACCTCAGTGCAGCCCCGGCTTCCTCTGGCTTCCTCTGCACGGTGGAAGCGGTGCTGAGGTGTCTCCTCTGTCTCTGCTTCCAGCCAGGGGTGATGCCATGGCCGCTGCGAGCTCCAGCAGGGCCAGGGCTGGGCTGCCCTGCGAGAAGTTCCAGCTCTCCGTGAAAGGTGGGTCCCGCTGTCTCGCTGGAGGTGGAGTCGGGAGTCCTGCGGTGGGGAATGTGGATTTTGAGTGTGTCTGGTCCGGGCAAGTGGTCTGCCTGCACCCTGGGCTGGGAGACCTTCTGGGGGGGAGCAGGGGCTGAGGAAGGCCAGCACTGCCCTGCGTCCCATGGGCGCCCAGGGAAGCAGAGCGGCCGTTGGCTGGGCTCCACCGCCTCCTCTCCCCGGCTGCTGTCGGGACGTGGCTCTTGTGGCCCTGCCAGGGCTGCGTAGGTGCTCCCGTGGCCGCGAGATGGCTCCCGACGCCTGGAGCTGCGTCCCCTTGAGCCGTGTCCCCGGCTCTGCCCCACAGCCCCTGCGCAGGGCACCGCTGGCCTGGGGGGCAGCCGAGCCTCGTCTGGTGG